ATCCTCATTATCAGAGAGAAAATGGGTATGTTTGTATGGCAATACATGTTCATAAAAGGATACATTCCTGGAGATTAATATATGCTTGGTTTCCAGGTTGTAAAGGCGATATCCTTTACAACCAAGTGGGTAACCAAGTAAAATGCATTTGGATGCCCTAGAATCAAACTTGGATCTATGTGCAGAGATGGTTGAGGTATAACAGAGACAGCCAATTACCTTTAAGTGTTCAAGGCTAGGTTTTTTACCATGCAATTTTTCAAAAGGAGAAATGTTTTTATGTATGGATGATGGTAATCTATTAATGATGTGAGTTGCAGTAGTAACACAATCAATCCAAAATTGAAGGGGTAGATGAGCATGAAATAATATTGCCCTAGCAACTTGAAGCAAATGTTGATGTTTTCTTTCTACCCTTTCATTTTGTTGAGGTGTTTCTACACATGATGTCTGATGTATGATACCATGTGAAGAATAAAAATCATGAAGTATAAACTCAGTACCATTATCAGATCTTATGATTTTAATCTTTTTCTAAAACTGAGTACATACAAGGTTGTAGAAATGATGCATATATGTTTTAGTATCAGACTTGTGAACAAGAGGATATACCCATGTGACTCTACTGTAGTCATCAACAATGGCAAGGAAATATTTATGCCCAGAGTGAGATGGTATAGAAAAGGGACCCCATAAGTCAAAATGTACAAGTTCAAATGATTCAGATGCAATGGACATGCTATTGTCAAATGGTAATTTCTTATGTCTAGCATAATGGCAAGTATCACAAGGCATGCTACTAAGATTTTTGCACTGAGATGTAGAACATTCAGGTAATTGAGCAAGCTTATGAAATGATAAATGTCCCAGTCTGTGGTGCCATAGTTCAAAAGAAGACAATACAGAAACAGAGGTATCAAGTTCTATTACATGAGCATCAATAGGCTGTTTGTCTTAAACAACATTAGCAATATGAACATTTTGAGAATCAGAAAAAGACAAATGGTAGAGTCCATTCTTGGCCCCAGCAAAACCAATCAATTTGTTGGTTTGCAGGTCCTATATTGTGCAAGAAGAAGACACAAAGTTGACAGAACAGTTATTTAAAATAGTCAGTTTTGAACCTAAAATAAGATTGAAAGTAAAAGTAAGGACATATAGTACATCATGCAGCACAAGATTAGGCCCTAGGTTAACCTGTCCCACATGGCAAGCATGAGTACTATGTCCATTTGGTAGTTTAATGGCAATAGATGTTTGTAAAGGAGGTTTTGAAAACAAAGTAGGATCACATATCATATGGTTTGTTGCACCAGTATCAAGTATCCAAGTATGATTGTTGAAATTTTTATTAGAATGACAAGATAAAGATGAGATACCTTGCTGTTCTATGTGAACAGTAGCAGCTACAGGGGTTGGCTCAGCCTGAGCTTTACCTTGTTTGTTAGCAAGTAACCTTTTGTATTCTATGAACTCAGCAAATAAACTGCCAGTCATGGAATTTGTGGATTGCTTAGGGGAATTGGGTAAAGAGGTATGGACAACATTGGCAACAATATTTGTAGGCTGATGAGAAGGATGAATTCTAGGGCCCTTAGGACCTATCCAGTTAGCAGGGTAACCAATGACCTGGTAGCATTTTTCAGTTGGGTGGTTGTAGCCACAGTGATCACATTTGAAATGTTTTTTGTCTTTTGGTGCATGATTTTTAAAGTATTTTGAATTAGACTTGGCTAGCATGGCAACAGAATCAAATGGTTTTGAGGAATGTTGTAAGTTTCTTTGGCTTTCTTCTTGTAATAACAGAGAGTAAACTTTAGACAAGGAGGGCAAAGGAGATGACAACAAGAAGTGACTTCGAAGAGCAGAGTAAGAATCATTTAAGCCAACCAAAAATTTCATAACAGAGTCATCCTGTTGTGCCAAAGTCATAGATTCAAAAACAGTACAGGTACAGCGAGACATAGCACCACAAACACACTTAAACACAGGTCTGTAGGTCAAGTATTCATCCCAAAGTGATTTAAAAGCAGTGTAATACTGAGTGATAGTTTGAGAACCCTGGTCCATAGAACTTAATGATTTCTCTAATTGGTAAACCCTAGGACCACTGCTAAGGGCATATCGAGACTTAATTTCGTCCTAGACACTTTTAGCATCAGAAAAGAACAAGAGAGACTGACGGATATCCTTAGCAATCGAGTTCAAAATCCAAGACAAACAAGATTATTTGCACGAATCCGAGCAACATGATCATCAGGGTGAGAAGTAGGGTTAGGAGTTACCATAGAGCCGTCAATAAATTGACCTTGTTTTTAACGCTCAGCGCCATAAGAACCGCACGGGACCAGGCAACGTAATTCTCACCGGTAAACAGATCGACGACGATGACAGCACCAGGATTGTCGCTCGGATGTAAGTAGAATGGCGACGATGGATCATCAGAAGGGTGAGTCATAGCGATCAAATTGATTATGAACAGATTGGAACTAATCGAAGCAAATTTGTGAAAAATGAACAGATCGGAGTCGATGCGAACCAAAATAGATCAAATCAAGCACAAAATGTATAGATCCGACAAGAAATCGGAAAAAAATGCAGAGAAAAAAATATAGACCCGATCGAGATGCGGATCGAACAAGTAACAAAAAATATATGCAGCGGAATACCAAACGGATCGAAGAGAGCTGGTAAATGATACCATAATAAAACTAAAAACTAAACATGATTTTCATTGATAGGAAAGATTACAGAACTTGAAGAAGAAAGATTCTTCCGTGTTTAGAGAGAGAGAGAATACAGTAAGCGTGTAAAAGGAAAATTAAGTCTAACAAACCCTAATGACCCTATTTATATTGTGCCCTATACATGAGATTAAAGACCTTGAGGGCCTATGTGCAAATAATGAAAATAAGTAAAATACAGGATTGTATGTATAAACTAATAAATAGTAAAAGTTCAAAGTTATATATTTTTTTAATACTGATGTTTAGCTAGTTTCTAAACAATAAATAAGAAATAAAAATGAGAATAAATTACAAAATGATGAATGTCATATTTGCAATAATCCTGCACATGAACTGCAAATTAGCAATAACCTAAATCTCTAGTCCTAATTAAAAAAATTAAAAGACAGATAATAAATTAGTTTCATTTTTTTTTTCCATTACAAAATTTAGTACCTTTAAAAACAAATCACCTTTATAGACTTTGGTAATAGAACAATCTGGATAAAGGTCCGCATGCACGTTGTTTTTTCAACAACGAAACGCGGTAAGGTTGAAAATCCGCAGTACATTGCACTTTAAATGCACTCAAGTTAGTGCTCGATTTTAAGCAAAGAAATGCCATTTAATTAAGCTTTAATTAATGTGTATATTTGGTAAGTAATATATACTAAAACTATTATGTAACTTATTTAATTATTTACCTTATACGCTCCTTGTTATTAAATAAGTTTGGTATGATATAGTGAGTTTCTAAACAATGCTAGAGTTGGTTTATCAACTAAAAAAAAAATTGTTCATATTTATCAACTAAAAAAAATATTTCTTTATAATTTTTATTTTATTTTTTTCATTAAATAATTAGGCCCCCTCATTATATTTGTTAGATCCGCCCCTACTTCTCCTAAATGTTAACATTGATATAAATTAGTGTCATAAGTTTTGTCATAATTATAACTCATGTCTCAATTTTGTTACTTTATGCATCACTTCACATTATTTTTAATGTTAAATTTTGACATAATTATAACTCATGTCTCAATTTTATTACTTTATACATCACGTCACATTACTTTTAAAATCATCTACGACTAAGCATGCACATTCATTTTCTGTCATCCTTTATGTCAAAGTGGTTTTATCCGATCTTTAATTGATCATGAGTATTCCATGATAAAATGATCATTTGATCAGCTCCATATAACATTCAATTAAAATTTCATTTTGAGTAACTAAATAAAATAAATATAAGCCTATGAAATAAAAATATTTATATTATTTGGTAAGAGAACAATCCAGATGAAAGAATATTAGAGATGCTTGAAAGCAAGTAGGAAATACGTGTGAATAACTTAGAGGAATATTAATAATACATCGAAGGATTGGGACATATAACATATATGTGTCTAAAAAGCTGATGCATTTGATGGTTGAGAATCAGTTATGTTCACATGGATTGTGTTTTCTATTTTTCTCTTGATTCTAAGCAAAGAAATACTATTTGAATACTGTACCCTTAGAGAAAAAAATTCATCTATAAATACAGTTTCAACTTTGCACTTTTTATCATCACAGCTTATTAATATGTACTAACTAGCTTGTGACAATCTTGGTGTGAGCTCTTGGGGGCTGTTTAGCAAATTAAAGGCAAGAAATCGGGCGAAGAGTATTCTCGGTTGTCTACGTTTTTTAGGTAAAATGTTTTGCATTCTTTAACATTTCTGAAGTCGTAAATTTGTACTACTCTTGCTCCGGTTTATGGAAGCGTTTGCAAACACTTGAAGAATGTCATATTAGCTTTCTTACTCTTCGGTCTTCTACGTTTTTTAGGTAAAATGTTTTGCATTTTTTAACATTTCTGAAGTCGTAAATTAGTACTACTCTTGCTCCGGTTTATGAAGCGTTTGCAAACACTCGAAGAATGCCATATTAGCTTTCTGCATGAAAAATTAAAAAAATCGCAAACAAATTCTGACGAGAGATGACATAATGATTGAATGGGTCAACCTTTAATACTTTTGAACGAAAATTGCATATTTATATTGTCAGATTGTTATACCTTTCGTTTATGGTATTTTTTTAAAGTATGACATTTTATTATGAAAGAAGAAAAATATTTGTGAGGATCATCGATGAATTATAACCAACAAAGCAAAAAAGTTATTATCGAAACATATTTATCATGTCGAACCCAATAAGTTGTAATATTCACTCATGAACTCATTTTTTTTTTTTTGTACGCAAAACAAGATTCGAAAGGCAAATTAAAGGAAAATGAAGCTAACAAGAACTGCGTTTTTTGCTCTTATCCTCGTTATAATGATGATGATGAGCTCGGTTTTGGCCATCGATTGCGACAAGGAATGTAAGCGTCGATGTTCGAAGGCCGGTCGACAGGACCGGTGCCTTCAGTATTGTGGCATATGTTGTCGTGATTGTAAATGTGTGCCTTCAGGAACTTGCGGTAACAAGGACGAATGTCCTTGTTATCGGGACAAGAAGAACTCGAAGGGCGGACCAAAATGCCCTTGATTTACTATACATTATTACATCCATATTTAACAACGTTTGTGTATTAATTGTTGTTAATCTTCAATAATTGATGATCAAATTTGGGAGTTTGAAATGTAAGAGAATATTGTATGCATGTAAGTGATATAGCAACATACATAATGTTGTATGTATTGTTTTAATTTATTTGTATAAGGAATAAGCATGATGTTTATTGTTTTAAAATTGCATGGGAAATCTTTAGCTCAAAGCAGCATGAAATAAGATTTGAATGTTATTGGATTTTTGTTTCTATGGTTTTCTTTTTTTATTTTGTTGGTTTCTATAATTGAAAAAAGGAGGTTATTTCTTGGTACTTGAACTGTATTTACTGGAATATATATACTTTTTTATTTATTGCAAGTAAAATATAATTTGCCCGTTGATAAAGTTGCTAGACTTTCCTTTTCCCTCGTCCTCACTCCCTTTCACATACCTCATCAACGCATACACCTCGGGCCGGGCCCTAAACCCGGGTTGTACCCTCCACGCCCGACTCATCATCGTCGGCGCTGCTAAATCCCTACACCTCGCTTCCAAACTGATAGCTTTCTACGCCGCCTGCAGGCATTTTGGTCACGCCCGCAGGTGTTCGACGAAATTCCCAAGCCAAGTGGCCCGCGAATATGGGCCGTTCTAATCGGGTCCTAGGCCCGCCACGGATATTATCCGGAGACAATAACCTCATTTTCCATAATGCGGAAGGTAGAAAAGCTCAATGTCACGACCAGCATCCTCAAAGCCTGTGGGCACCTCTGTTTTCGTAAAACGGGCCAAGGACTACATGCCGTTGTTCTGAAAAACGGGTTCGGGCGGGACCTATTTGTGGCTTGCTTGCTCGTCGACATGTACTCGGGGTGCAAAAATGTTGAGGACGCAAAAAGGGTGTTTGATGAAATGTCCGTTCGAGTGGATTTAGTGTTGTTGAACACTATGGTTTCGGGATTCGTTCGCAATGGTTCGGTTCACGAGGCTCTTGGCTTGGTCAAGAAACGAGATTATTATTCAGGCTTAGGCCCGATATTCTGACGTGGAACTCGTTGATCTCGGGCTTCTGATGAAGCAATGGTTAAGAGAATTCTCGAAAGTATGGAGGCCGACGGGATTAAGCCCGATTCGATAATTTCGGGTTATATCCAAAATTTTCGAACCAAAAAGGCGTACACCGATTTTCGAAAAATGTTGCGACTCCTTCCCAGGCCCGCAAACACCACGGACTTGAGACGGGGAAAGGAGATTCATGGTTACTAGGTTTCGATCGGATTAAACGATGCGCTGTACGTGAAGCTGGTCGATCTTGCTGAGGTGGCGGCGGGGAAACTGGAAGCTCGGGCGGTGATGTGGCATTGTTGGGGTTGTATGCCGACTTGAGTCGTTGGGGAAATGTGATGGAGTTGAAGAGCGTGATGAGGAAGAGGAAGTTTAGGAGTTTGCAAGCCGTAGTTGGAATGATGTTTCGTGATCCACATAGCCGTTTATCTCTTCGATTCAGCACTTTGTCGCTCTGATTCGCCCCCAAAATATTTTCTTCGCTTTTCATTTTAAAATTTGAACTTATGTTGTTGGGGGTTTTCAGATTATGTCGGCAATGTGGGAATTTTGGTTTTGAAACTTGAAATTCCGAGCTCGCGTTCCTTCGATTCAGCCATTTGTCGCTCTGATTCCTCCCCAAATTATGTTTTGTTGGCTTCTCGTTTGGAAATTTAAAGTTGTTGGGGGTTTTCAGATTATGTTGGCAACGTGGGAATTTTGGTTTTGAAACTCGAAATTACGCGCTCGCGTGTAGTGAAGCAAAGAAAATACATAGTTTGCTCGAAGATGCGTCGACTTAAGCCTTGTGTACGACCGCAAGTTATGTATGCCTATTGCCTCGGAATTAGATGGTCATCGGAGATTATCGTTTTTTACTTTAACATGATGTCACTTTGTGTATTGGATAAAATGTACTTTATTATGGTGATGTTGGGATCGAAATTCAATCAAAGGACCAACTTCATTGTTAAATGTTATTCCCGAGTTTCAGAGTGATTAAGGTTTTGTACATCCTCTTGAGGTTACACAGAAAAAACTCTAGAGCGGGTGCAATCTGCATAGAAACAGCACTTGCAGTATATGCAGTAGCTTGAATTTTTTGCAATTAGAATGAATTTTAAGGGCACTTTTGTAGTTACCCTTTGTTTTAGTGTATGCATTCTGGATTACACTTGAGGAGAAAGTTGGTTCAAAGTTATATTCGATTTATATTTGAGTTTACATACTTTCATATTACCATGTCATATTTTGAACAGCAACAAACATAAAAGTATGACATTTACTTTACATACTTTCATATTAAAATTAAAATGACATATTTTAAAAACCAATAAACATAAAAGTATGACATTTTACGTCTGTATTTTTATTCTAAAATATGAAGAGTCAATTTGCTTTACAAATGGGTCGAATTTGTTTGTCGACCTATTATACTATATGGTCATATTTATACTATCAAACGTCATACTTTTGTTTATTTTGTTTTTATAAATATGACAATTCAAAAGTATGTTTATTTGTTGAAAAAGAGAATATGTCAAGCTAATAGTTAGATCCTACTGAAAATATAACGCAATCGTTATCGGATAATCTGTATGCACAGCTTGCAATTGAGAAGAAAATCCCTTAAGTCACATAACAATCTGTATGTACAGCTTGCAATTGAGAAGAAAATCCATAAACTCCACCTAAACTAAAGATTACGTTTCCAATTATGTTAAACTTTTAGTTCTCATTTCCAATCAAGCTATCATAAAAGCTAAAATATAATGCCAATTATGGTGTTTATGATACGTGGGGAAATAGAATTTCGAACAAATTAAAGCCCATATTAATTAATTAATTTTGGATTCATGAGAAAATCCCCAGTAAGTCTCACCATTTTAAGTTTGAAAATAATACTGTAGTCAACATAGAATTAAACACCCAGCAAAGCAAAATAAACCAAATAAGCACACAATGTCCTAATTCTAGGATGATTTTCCATTACAAAATTCAACGTTATATGGCCGTCTGTTTACTTTAAACACTTCTTATATTGATTGTTTAACTAACCAAAACACTTTTTACCAGATAATTCTGCAATTGGAAGTGACATAAATTTTAAACAGGCCAATCCAAATGAATGGTTCCCAATGAGATTTACAAAGAAGAAAAATAAAAGTGCAGGAATAATTTTACAAATTAATCATATATGTATGCTGACAAATCATATATGTATGCTGACAAATTTACAAATTAGTAAAAGGAGAAAAGTTAAATATTAGTAAAAGGAGAAAAGTTAAATATTTAATTCGATAATCATATATGTATGCTGACAAATTTACAAATTAATGAAAGAGTAATTTAAAAAAAATTGCAAATGGTATATTAAAAAAAGAACAAAAACAAAAAACTGCAACCTTGAATTACAATTATCATATGTGTCTGCTCATAAATAGTTTACGATTCATCTCAATTTTATATATATTTTTTTGTAATCCCGATTTCTAAAATAAGTCAGAGTGGTTGTTTTTCATCAAATTACATGCATACAATATATTATATACCATTAACACAATAATCAATGTGAAACCTTTTCAGAAAAAAAAATAAAACAATAAAATGAAATATGATTGTACTCCAAACTAATTTGCCTATAAATACCCACTAAAACACAATTAATTATCACCCAACATAAAAAAAATAAATAAATAATAATATCAGTTAATAGTTAAGAGAAAAATGAAGCTAACCACATTAGCTACCTTTCTGCTGGCCCTCCTCTTCATGGCCAACCTGCATGAGACAACGGCCGACAAGCACCCGCCAGCTGGCGGAGTCTCGCAATTTTGCCAGTCGAAATGCAGCTACCGGTGCTCGAAGGCCAGCCGCCAGGACCGTTGCCTGAAATACTGTTACATATGTTGCGAAAAGTGTCACTGTGTGCCGTCCGGGACTTCCGGCCACAAGGATGAGTGCCCTTGCTATAGGGACTGGAAAAACTCAAAGGGTGGACCTAAATGCCCTTGAGATCGATTATCCTCATATCTTGCGATTGTTGAAAATAAAATGTGCAAATAAGTGTAGATTTGCATGGAAAGGTGATGTGTGCTTGTGTGTTTTTCTAATTGTGTATTTTTCTAATTTCTATGGTGTGTGTTGATATAGAATATTGAAATACAATGTTACTACTATATGTGAGAATGAAATAAAATCAACACTCTTGTTGTTCCATTATACCAAATAAAAGACCATCTCTTTTATAGTCACCAGCAAGCTTAGATGCTTTTCTTGCTGCTAAAACTGAGAACAATACATTAGCAGAACAAAATTTTAAAGAGAAAAAATGAAAAGAACATAAATAAAATCAAAATCACTACTTGGAACATAAATAAAATCAAAATCACTACTTGGACTTGTATGTAAGATAGCACCAGGAAAAAGAAATGTTGATTTGTAACCTTGATGGTGCAGAGGTTCTATTCCATCTGGGACTTCAAAATCTGAAACGATACGGAGTAACTGAATTAGATCAAGACACCAAATTAAGTGAAGACTTCAATTGCTAAACTCAATGCACAAACACAAACAAAAGGAGACGGTGTTTAAGTTTTGCAGTAAAATTCAGGTATATATTCTACAAGACAATATTACGATTTGTTTTCCAATACATTAGTTATCACGTACAAGCTTCGCGGGTCATTGGATTCGATGAAGTTCGATAAATGTAACATCCGTAGCCGCAGAAGAAACCACAGTGAAAACACAAAAGGTATTCATGGCTCCAATACATATTACACCTTTCCATTTTCATCGTTTTAATTTTGTAGCTTATCTTTTTTTCAAGCCCAACACGTCCACAATAAGGAAAATAATGTATCAACAGAACCTCATACACATCGAAATGCAAGCCCTGTAGATTAATATATTATCATTTTTGCATAAGAGTACTTAGAGGAAGCAATTGCCATTGCTGGCCCATGAGCTGAGAAAGGAAGTCCAATTCTCATATCACATCCCAAAACTTCATTGAGAAAACAAATGACTCATTTTACTTTGCTCATCCAGCTAAAGTAACCAACCACACATTCCAAGTGTTTTCCAATTACATGTTTAACTTAATATTGTCAGATACCAAGACAAAAACAGCAAAAACACCAAACAAATGTACCAAAACGTCAGTCATGGCATATCAATTAACAAGAGCGACAAATGAGACTAGTCTGCAGAACTTACCACTACTACAAGCATATAACATGCAGAAAATAAAACTCCTTTGATGCTCTTAAGACCCCTTTGACCGCTTATTACTCTTAGATTTTGAAGGGATTTTCCCATACGCCAAAAGTCTTTTATCGGATAGCTTCATCACAGCTTGACGATGCTTTCTCTTACTCTTCTTGGATAAACCACCTGCATCACCATTCGATGGTGCCTTTTCTCCTTCATTAACTATTTCCTTACCGTTACTTTCCTCCCTGTCCTTAACCTCACTCATCTTTTTCTGTTTCAGCTGGAGAGTCTTAATCCTGGGCACCTTCCATTCTTTCTCCCTGTACGGAGCTATCTTCTTCAACGAGACATACTGATTCAGCTCCTTGTCATCTGTTGTAAGGATTTCCACTGGGTTCAGCCCAAACCTCCGGGCCTTGACGGGCCTGTACTTGAATCTCGTCTTAAGGTCCCCTATTGTGTCCTCATAATCCAGCTTGTAGTACTCCTCCATCAACTGCTCCTGAACCGCCTTCTCCACATCACTCATTTTACGCTTTCTCTTCCGTTTACCTTCACTGGGCCCAACATCCTCTTCAGCTTCCCCATTTTTGTTAATCATGTCCCCTTTCTTTTTCAAGAATTCCTCCCTCGCAGATAAAAACCCTTCACGGGACCCACCAGCCTCGTCCCACCCCTTCGGGAGACCGAGAAGTTCATCCTCCTTTTCAAAATCGGGTTTTTCGATCTCAACATCCTCATCGTTTTCACTCCCGAATCCCGGGTCGGCATCCTCGGCATCATAATAATCGTCCCCAAACGCCTCCTTCATTTTCTGATCATAGGCTGCGGGGTCGAATTCTTCCTCCAAGTCATCCTCGTCGAGAAAGACACCCTCTTCTTTCCCGATACCAGCCACCTCCCGAATTTTCTCCAATTTGTCGTTAATCTCTTTTTTCTTCAGATTCTTCAGCCTCTTGAGCTCCTCCCTGCGCTCAAACTCTGCCTGCGCCATTCTCTCCTCTTTCCTCTCCCTCTGAGACTTTCTGGCATTATCCTTCTTCCTCACTGACCCCTCGATTTTCCTCGAGTGGCCCAAGATACGATCACCTGTGTTCTCCTCATACCTGAAATTATACTCCCGCTCATAATCCTCCTGCCTCTCGATTTCCTCCTCGTCCTCTGAGTAGGCTATATCATCATCATCATCATCATCCACAGAGTTTTTGCTTTTCCCTTCGTCTATCCACATTCTGTTCCGCAGGTAGTTCTTCAGGAACATGGTATCCTCGTCCAGCTTCTCGTCTTCGCCAAAATATTCATCCAGTTTGCCCTTAATCTCATCATCACCATCATCTTCATCTTCTTCTTCTTTGACCCCGCTTTGCTTCAGCGTCAGAAAATCCTCCCCATCGTCGTTTTCTTCCTCCTCCACAGCTTTCAAAAACTCCTTCCTTAGCTCCTCCTGCTCCTCGGAATAACTCTTCAACTTTTTCTGGTCCTGATCTTTATCCTCATCATCGCTGTCGAAATCCGCGCCCTCCTCGATCAAATGCTGAGCAACAACATTTTTCAAGTACATCGGCCTGTGCTTCTTCTTTTTATTCTTCTCCTCGTTTTCTTTGCTGGCATTTTCGAGACCTTCATCGCCATCTGAATCTGAATCTGAGTCGAACAGCTTCGCGTCCTTGTCCCTCAGAACAGGGTCCTGTTTCTTCACCTTGATTAGGGCGTCGAGGAACTTGGAATCGGTTTTTTTGCTCGGCCTCGTCAGCTCCTCTTCTGAGGACTCATCGGAATCCGAGTCTGACGAGTCAACTCGGCCTTGCTTCTTGAGCTCCTCGTATCTCTGCAACTCCTCGCGCTTCTTATTGTGCTCGTACCGCTTGGCGAACTCATGGTCGATATCGATCTTCGATAGATCGTCGTCCGGGAAGTCTCCGCCGTCGTCGAACAGCTTCAGTGGACCCATCGCCGGGAGATTGAACGTCGGAGGTACTACCTTGCAAATCAATTTAGGGGTTTCGCTAGGAATAGGGTTTCAGTGTCCTAGTATAGAACATTTTAGAGTCAACTGTAACATATGGGCTGACGTTCAGGCCCAGAGTTAAAGGAACATGAGCTCTGGTCAACATAGAAACAAGAGTTATGGGCTTTTCATTACTTTTTTTTTTTCAAACATCAAATATTATAACCAAACTCAAAGTCAAGTACAAACCGAACTTCCAAATGGAAATTACGAGCCCAACATCAAGACAGATCGACGCGGGACGCAAAGGTAAGGCTCGCATAATGCCCACCTGAGGGACCGAACATGGCCACAGAAACAGAAACAAGAAAAAACATTACAACTAGAGAGAACAATCAACAGCTAGAACCAAGAACAAAAACTACGAAACTATAAAAACTAAATTCCAGGCAAAAAAACTACACACTAAGAGATATAAGTGAGGAGACTTTGTGAAGTGGCAGTTCATGACAATCTGGTTTGTGATTGCCATATTTTGGACAAAGTCTTTTTCGTAATAAAATGCTATTTTGGAATAACTTTTTTCACATTAGGAATGCTTGATTTTAACTATATGTTTATGCACTTCATATTTTACATTACATTGCAAACTACATGCTAGTTACATTGCACTTCAGATTTTCGATTGGGAGGTGTCATCCTTCTCAATTACATCGATCCTCTCCTTTTAGTCCCTTCCTCTCCCTTTGGAAGTTTGCAGGACCAATTTACTAATGCGTAAATCTTATGAAAATCCAACAGTCGGATTTTGGTCAGTAGTGATCAGTAGTTAGAAAACTACTGATCAACAGTTAGCTTGTTTTAGGCTACTAACAAAAATTCGACCATTATATTTTCATAAGACTTAGGCATTATAAAATTGGTCCTCCAAGCTTTCAAATGACACCTCCAATCGAAATCGGATATCTTGATTATCAGAAAAGTTGAATTGAAATTTTTTCTATACATACATGCTCCTACTATATTCGTCGAGCGATTACAGAGATATTAATTTTCAGAAATCGACAAATCATACCTCATGTTGTTCGTCTCGCCATGGGCTTTGAAAGCCCTAATTTAATTTTAGAGATCAATTTAAAATTTATCGTTAATTAAGTTAAAAACTTTTGGGGTCATATTAGGGTTTTCAATTGAGGAGGCAAATTGTTAGTTTCTATCATTATGGGAGGCAAATTGTCAAGAAAAAAAATTCGTAAGACAAACTCTAAAAATCAGCATAGTTTGGGAGGTTAAAAAAAATTTCCTAAACTTTTTACTAGGGTTGGTATCGATTCGGTTACCGAACAGATAAGGCCAAATCGATACCGAACCAATTATTTTGTTATCTACAAATAGGAAACCGTTACCGAACCGTTTGTACTCGATAACCGAACGGTTTCCTACCGAAAAAACTGGAATTTACCAATAATAAATGAGAGGGCCGATTTTTTTTTATTTTTTTATTTTTTTTTGTTAATGGGTGAGATGAGCATTCATGAAATTAATACTCATCAAATTTTAATTATTGTACTTATACAGTGATTAATAGAAATATATACAAACTATAAAATTAATCCACAGATGCGCAAAGTGGTCGAGTATATTACGACTTTTGTTGAGGAAAATTTGTCCCCGAACAGGGCATCTAATATCCAGAATAAATATCGGCAACTGTTGAATTTCTTGAATATTGCTTATGACGGTTTTCAAGTCCTGAATATTGCTTAGTAATTATATACAAAAACTGCTTGCTTTGTTATGCATTCACAAGCTTTATAACATAAGTTATTACTTATTAGTTATAGTATTAAGTTATTAGTTATTAGTATTAAATTATTAACTATTAATATTAAGTATTTTTTTTTTAAAATTCCTTATCGGTTCGATTCGATAAAACCGAACCTCTATGGTTTCGAAACCGATACCGTACCGATAACATATCGGTAACCGATAATCGGTTACCGTTTTAAATTAATCGGTTCGGTTCGATTTTTTTTCTCGTCGGTTCGGTTTTCGGTTTTCGGTCCAAAAATTCCAGCCTACTTTTTACCCTAGCTCCCTAACAAAACATTCAAGCCAGAAAATAAATAAAAAGGCATGGGAAAAAAAAAGCGCGCCACAACCTAATTCGAAGAAGCCCTAAAGGGGCGAAAAACAAAAAGGGAAAAATGGCGGCAACAATTGGGTGGTACGGGCCGCTAATCGATCTCTGCAAAGCTTTTTCTTACATCGGAGATTTCGTTCAGCTCCTCGTCTACGTCCACAGATCCACCCCTGTTCAGGTTACAGTCGCCGGATTTTCAATCCTTCTTTTGTAATAGATCATCGAATTAATTTCAATCGCTGCGTTTTTTTCCCCCTCTTTAATTCTGTTTTTTTTTTCAATTAATTTGCGTATGAATAATTATGTGAAGTATAAAATCGCGAGGAACGGAGGGGAGGTGGTGAGGATGGATGTTCTGGTCGGAGACGAAACGAGGTCGTATTTTCCGGTGACCATTTGGCAGAAGCAAATGGGGGCTCAAGTTTCAGCTGGTCATGTTTATCTGCTTCAAAGTAAGCTTTTCTGCGGTTGGATACAATATTTTTTCGAGGATTTAACTTTGTTTTTTGTTGGAAAATATATAATAATAGTAAACTTTCAGTTTTCAATCGTGTTGGATTGTAGAGAAAAAACTCAAAAAGTGAATTTTATATTTCTTTTTCAGTTTCAATGATATGCATCTCGGCTGGACAAACAAAAATAATTATTTAGTGTATCAAATCGCAGAGCTTTTCCCTCCCCTATGTTTGTGATTTGTTCTTCCGCTTTTGATTGATGTCATTAGCAATGTTAAGCATTGTTGTTTTGTTTGTTCCACATATCGATGAATGATCAAGCTTAAACAGTAAACAGATCTCAAAATGACAAGATTTGGAGATACTATCGAGGCTCGAGCTATACATTGTTCGTCTCTCCAGTGTTTACTTCGACCAGATGATTTTGTTGCACCAAATGGTACTCTCTCACTATTAGTATGTTTTTGTGGATTATATATGATCTTACTAATTACTATTATTTCATTATCTTATTTAGGTTTAGATAAAGTGATTGGAGAGTGTCGTGTAGGGATAACGACGAAGGACAAGCTTCAAAGAGTTGTTGGATGGATGCAACGAGCCAAACTTGCTCATTGTGGAAGCGCATTAAACTGTTTTGAAGTAAGTTCTTCATATGGTAAAACCTTTTTTTTTTTTTTTAATTCTTTATCATTTAATATATACAGTGTCTCAAATGTTAGTGTAATTTTCCTACATGATACCATATTATTCTGTAGGTCTGACATCAGTGAAATTTGTTAATTCATCAAGTGTAGCCATTTATTTGTTTTCCCCTAGAAATTAAGTAGTCGCTTTGTGGTTGTATTATATGATTTACTCGTGGAATTTTTGGATTTGGTACGGAAATCCATCCCTACAAGCTCCATAACGTACGATGACTGATAGCAGTTTTAGATATTACGTGCTAGACATTGAACACTACGCGTTTTTTTGGAGAAAACATAGTAGAACAAAATTATGATTATTTGTGTGGAGATAGATATTGTTTTTTTTTTTTTTTTTTGGGAATTATATCAATATATCGAACTCTCAGCACAGGGGTCAGCTAAAAATCAATTGGAAAGTGCATGAAGATACGAATTCCCAAGATTGCACCTCTCTATCAGAACTATACGAGTACAAGGAAAATTGTAAGGCTACTTTTCATGCTTCTGTTGGTGAGTTATTTCTACCCATCACTTGGGTCGAACTTGGAGAGAATGAAGCCGAGAGGATGTTCATTAGTCGGAGGCTACATAATATACACGATCAGAGCTTGGTTGACGATCTCATTACAACCGGCTGCCAATTGTGTGGTACTCCAGTAAATGCTAGACCTGGGTATGAACAAGAATTGATTTTTTATTTATTTATTTATTTTTTTTGTTCTTTTTTGTTTTTATATTGGGATATTATAATTCAGAATTACTTGCAAAAGTTGCCCCTGAGGTTTAACATAATTACAGTGAGACCTAATTATCTTTCAAAATAACAAGTTCCCACCCTTACATCTGTTTTTGTCTGATAAATATTGTATAGAGTTCAAATTTTCTGAAGTTTCTTTGTTTTTGTCTGTAATTATTGATCAAATTTATTCAACAAGAAGCTGGGTTTTGACAGGTCAAGTGTGGAGCAAAACATAAGTCATTTGTACTGTCCGAAAAGCTCTAATCGTTTCCATACAGTGGGCACCATATACAGACCTTTCCTGGTAAAAGAAGCTTTTTTTTTTCTCCTTTTCTTATCATACAATTCTATGAAGCGGTTTTCAATATAACCCTGCTCTAAATATTATTTTAATCGGTGTTTTCAATAACTTGTTTTTTTTTTTGTTTTTTTTCATACATGCAGTTATATGTATGGGATGACGTGAAGTACCTCCCGATTTCTGTCAAGAACAAGGGAGCTGAAATTCTGTTCGGAAATATCTCCGCTGAAAAAGTTCATTCGTCTTATAAAGACCAACGGGCTGGAAAAGACGGTTTTAACCCTCACCCATCGAGCGCTGGGCAAATCTTTCGGATGAAGGATAAATTTGCTGAGGGCTGTGAAAAACCGAATTTCTACATGATTTGGTTGATTTTGTTGAGAACGTTGTTTCAGCACGAAAAGAACAGCCCGTTGAGATTTAAAGTAAAAGTCGATACGAATAGAGATTGGGAAAATGGGAGGCTTGAGATGCTATCGGTTTCAATTCCAGCTTTTAAAAGAAATCGAGCAGCCTCGAGTAGAGCTGTATTGTCTAAAAAAACTTCAGTAGGATTGTCTTAAGTTGAAGTAGTGAAATGAAAATTCTTGTTCTGACTTTCTTGTATTTTCAGAATTTTCTGAAATAAATTAGAGCTGCAAATTTGATATCTGAAGTGTTGGGTGCTCAATTATATTGCATAATAATTTACATGTTGCTTAATTATTTCATATAATTAAATAAATAATTAAAAGTACCTCATTGGCCTGGTAAGTCCCATAGGAAAAGCAAGTCAGTATGTTTAACCTGTAGACTAAAACTTTACGGCCATAAACATTAAAATCCATAATTCTGGAATTACATATTACATACATATCAAATAAAGATACTGCTTTCGAATAGCTATAAATTTGCTAAGCTTCATTTTTAATCCAAAACCTTCCTGCAGATAAATTTGCTAACTCTGGTGGATACTATCAACCATGGTATAATTCCTACCTGCAGAGGCAATGATCACAAAACCACATTAGTAAAAATCATGAATAGCCTACAAGAAAATGTTTTTTGTTCAACTTCATGTTCAAGGTAAATCACATTTGTCATTGATATATGAAAATGAAAAAAATAAAATAAAAAATAAGTATAATTTCCCCAAAAAGGAATAGAGAAAACGCATCTTTAAAAGCTAACAGTATAGCATCCCTTGACGGTATATGTATTATCAGTTATCACCGTCTTTTAAAGATAAGTGTTTTTTTTTTCTCCTTTCATGTTCATTTTCTATTTACATGACGTAATGACTAGGATCTTACATCTAAAGTGTTTTAAGTTTTAACACATACTTAAGACCAAGTACAATAGATTTATTCTTAATTCAAAACAGAAAATCACCGCAAGTTCGTCTTTAAAAGATATTCCTGCTCTCCAAGACAGCAACTTGCCTGCAAATATAAATATTCTATAAACAAAAAGCTCTTTCACTGTTTCACCAATAAAAGGTTATCTTCATTACACTGGAATTTTATAGTAATAAAACAAAGATGAAAAGAGTGAATTCCTATATATTACCGAAAGGTTGCACAAGTTGATTGGGTATTGTGGTCACAGGCATCTTCCAGAACCAAAAGAGAAGCATAACATACGTAACAACCTGTACAAAAACAGCAATATCAGTTTAACTGAATTTTAATAGTTAAAAAGAAAAAAAAAAAAAAAAAAAAAAAGGTAATTCTCTCAAATACGCAAAGTGTTAAAATGAATATAACCTTAGATATCAGTAAGAGCTTTTCGTATGTACCGAAGGACATCTTCATATCCTTTTCGCGCATTTCTTGATCTGAAAAATAAACAAAACATGAAGAATTACTGAAAATGGGGTTATAATGTGGCCATGATACTATCTAGTAAACTAAATTTAAAAACAGAAACGAATGGTAAAGATTGGAGATTGCAACCACAAGGTCACATACAAAAACCCATTGCCATGGGAATTATATTTAGACACCAAGGTTAAAAAAACGAAAAGAAAGGAGAAGGGAAAAAGAAAAAAAAAATTAATCCCTGCGAAAAAAATTAAAGAAAATACCCTACGTTTTGCAAGTTCTTTCTCCTTTGAAGCTGCCATTCTTCTAAGTTTTGCAGCTTGTGCAAATGTTGATGGCCTGAAATAAACGACATAAGCAAAGACACATAATGACATAATGACACACCCCAGATTTTCATCTCCGAACAGGAAAATCTATGATTAAAAAACAGATACAAAACAAAGAAATTACAAAAACATAAAAAATCATCCAGCCCGACACGAGTTTTCCTCCAAAAATTGACTTCGTAAAGCAACACTATGAAATTCACACTGTTCATGAAGCAGAAAGTTTATCAAGCTGATGGTCACAGGTTGCGTGCTTTTTACGGTACAAAAATCAAAACAAAATGTTTTAAAATCATGATCGATTAAGATACTTCGAAGGGAAAAGAAAAAGGCAATCCCTGAGTTCAAAGAGTTATGCTACATTATCGAAATAGTTTATGTATACCGAAAATACACATGAAAAGCATCAATTGGTCTTCTTATTACAATATTACAGAAATCAACAATCCAGATCTTGCTAATACATGATTCACTAATCCAGTTAGTAAATTCAATCTGGCAAAGTAAATTAACTCAAATCCACCAAGGAAGAGTTCTTTACATAAAATTTGTAAATATGTACAGTTTAAAGTTTAAACAATCTGAATTAAACTCATAAGCCAACAACACAATTGAATACTCATTTACACACACTAAACCTAAATTGTGCCTGTAGAAGCTAAAATCCATGGCTACAAATTAACCCAAATGTAGTGAACATTAAGAATGATAAACATTTGTAATGTATATAAAATTGGACTCACTGCGTCAAAGAGCTAGCCTCCTTCAAAAGCTTCTTAATTTCTGCTCGCAATTCAACACCCACATCACTCATCGCTCCTTTCTATATAAACAAAAGGAGAACAAGAAACAGAGGAAAATTGTCAGAGTTATCAATAGCAACAACTCTAAACATGTGAAAATGCACTATTTGGGGCAATTCAATTATTCGATCAAGAAAAAGAAAAAAAAAAGACATGAACCTTCTTTTTGTGGGACTCGATGAATTTAGAGACGAAGTGGAAAGCGAATACGAGGACGAAAATCGCAGGAGCTGCCATGGATTTCGTGCGCGCCACTGGAATTTCTTCCATTTCTTTTATGTATGTATGATGTGTTTTTCTACGGGATTGTTTGAATGCGTCTCGTTTTCCTTTGTTATTAAGAATCGCTGGCCAAAAAGAGTGAAGTCGTGTGTCTTTTTTTTAATTAAGTTTGACTTGTGAAAGATCGAGATAAATTTATTATATGAGTTGAACTCAAACAATTAATTGAGTTGTTTATCAATCGACCCGAGCCAATCTTGTTNTACGTTACCAGATTGAGAGAGATAGGTGCTGAGATCAAAGATATAGCTTCCTTACACTTTCCATGATGTGTTGCTTATTAGCTGTTACTTGGTCAGTGAATACATACATCAGATGGACAAGAAATGGAGAAAATCTTGGTGGTTTTTAAATTATGCCTACTCATGGGGCAAATATTTTGTTCATTTTAATTGTTTTAAATTATGCCTACTCATGGGGCAAAATCTTGGTGGTTTTTAATTGTTTTAAATTATGCCTACTCATGGGGCAAATATTTTGTTCTTTTTTTTTTCCGATCTCTTCCTTTCGGTTCGAGTCTTTTGTGTTTCTCTTGGGTTTCATCTCTAGCCTACCCCGACTTGCTTGGGACTAAAGGCTATGTTGTTGTTGTTGTTGTTGTTGTTGTTGTTGTTGTTGTTGTATATGAGTGGAGCTTAGTTGACTCATTTATTAAAACGGGCACAAGCTCGAATATGACCCACTCAGATTCGGCTCGACTTAATAATACCTCTAATGCTTCAACACATAAGTCCCTGTGGTCATCGAGCCGAGTCGGCCCGTGGACTTGACTGGTCTAATTCGTTGGCCTACAAATTAAGCCAATTAATCAGGGTTTCGAGCCAAAATCAATACCAGTTATTGTTTAAACAATTTTTTTGATTCGATAAGTCTGAGCCAACTCAAAAATAGGTAACTCTAATTGGTTTCGCATTCGAAAAGTTTGAAAATTGTTCACATTCAAATTTGAAATTCCGAGGAAACTTAGGGTCAGACTAGGCTGGCCATATATATCCCAAATGAGGTAAGGTCCGATTTAAGGGTTTTGTTGAGACCCTTGACAGACCAGGCCACAGGTTGGTCATCTTGAAACATGTCAGCACAAAAGCATACTTCATTTCTGTTGATAACAAAGAGTTACTAGACGTAAACTTTTATGAATTATTTATTTACAAACTTAAACTATACGGTAAATTGATATCGTCGAGAGAATATGGATTGGCAAAATAGTATTTATTGATCTTTGAATGCATTGTTTTGTGAGTAATGAATTGAATATGGTTCTAATGGTGGTACAATTTAATGTATTCATACAAAGTATAAAAGCAAATTCAAAGATTACAACAAGCCTCTTAAGGGCATATTTGACAAACATTATTATAAAGATTGCATGCAAGAGAACACATGACAGTGAGCTTTTGAGAATGGGACGTGATTGAACGCTCGCTTGGGAAATGCTAAGGTCCCGTTACGGTACCATCCCGTCAAGTGTTTTAACCGTTGGATCACATGTAGTTTGTATAAGACAAATAATCCAACGGTTTAAACACTTGACGGGATGGTACCGTAACGGGACCGTAGTATAACAATTTCAATTCATTTCCCATTAATTTTATTTGTGTTGCAAAATTCAAAATGTTCCCTTCGTTTCTAGGTTGGCAAAACAAAACTCTAGTCCCAAAGGCCAAAAAGACCAAAGAAGTATAACCAACTTGCATAAAGTGCAAAACACACAGATCCATTATTCAAAACATCAGAAACAGCAAACCGAAATCCCAAACCCAAAATTTACAATCCAAAAATCAACGGCGCAAATCAACAAGATCGAGTCCCAAAAAAACGTTTGATAATACTGTGGCGTTCAAGATTCAATGCCTGCATCAGATCCATCAGCATTTTGTGATTCCAAGAGCTTCATTTGGCGTTCTGCGTGTTCCCTCTCACATGCGGAAATTCCCATGATGATGTCGAGCATTGTGCCCGTCGTACCAAAGAAAACAAGTGGGGCCAAAGACTTGCGTTTTATCCCAATAGGGATTGCAATTAAGGCTCCAGCTACAGAGAAAACCCACGTGCCCAAAGCACTGAAAGATAGATAATGTCCCGAAAAATTAGAGGGCCAAGCAAAAAATATATTATGCACCATGAAAATGTATTCGTGCAACAAAGTAACAAACTAAACTGCGCATGCCATTTATTATGCCTTTTAAGAAAGAGAGGCCTCTTTAGTTCTAATGCCCGGAGTTTCATGCCATTGATTTTTTTTTTTTTAATGAGAAATGTACAATTTACAGTTAGTAATCGAGAGAAAGAAATAGGGAAGAGGGACTATAGATTGAACTTTAATTGGTTGTTCTTGTCTGTTTTCGAGTAGCCAATGGTTAATAAAGGCTCTTTCCATGAATGATACTGTTACAAAAGCATTCTTCGAACTCAAACACTAAGGACCATATGATGTGAAAAGGGAACCTTCATTGGCCTTTTCTTCATTAAGGTAATATATAAATCAAAAGCACCATTCAATCAGACTCNAAAAAAAAAAAAAAAGAAAAAAAAAAGAGGAAAACAAAAAGAAACTCTCTCTACTTTTGGCCGAAAAAGTTTCTTATTAATATTCCCAAATGCCAACTTCTGGTTATGGTTCTACTTATCTAATCAGATTGAAAAACAATGGGTGCAAAGCTTTTCTGTATCTGGTTGCATTTTTTCACACTTTTAACAACTTAATCAACTTTTACTTCCATCTGCAAAAGGCACAAACATTTGAATTTCGACTAATTTACACATCCTCTGCCGGAAGAGGTGTTGCCAAAACACTCCCTAAAAGCCCACAAGAATTCAGTTAACCACCAAACTAACTATGAATATCAAAGTTACTCTTTACATACATCTTCAATGAGGTTTTTTCTTGGATCAAACACATTTATAAGCAAAAGTTCATTTTTATCACTTCCAATTTTCATCTTTAAATGAAAATCACCACACAGCTAGAGCTCGTTTACATCTCTACTCACACCTGTTCCACTGAAAGGACGAACACTCAACACACACAGCAGATCCAGAATTTCATATAAACAACTACACAAATCAAATAGTGAAAATCAACTAATTTATGCAAGTGAAGATCTTCAACCAGCTTAAAAAAAAAAAACGTACTTTGAAACGGAGCATTCTTCCAGCTGTTTCACTTCCTCTTTTCCAGCCATAGCAAAGATTCTGATTTCTTCACTTTCTTGCGATCCAACTTCAAAACCTGTTCAACAACAACAGAAGATGTAAAATTAAAACCAATGTAATAAACAATAAACAGCAACAAAACATACGCAGTTCCAAGCTAAATTCGAAACCCACACACCAAAAGCTTGCAAATTGAACTTCCGTTTCGATATTTCGTTTCTTTTTGGTAACTGGAAGTGTGGTGCGGCATCGAAACGACGTCGTAGCATATGAGAAGCCCTTTTGTGAGACTGCAGTTGGGCTTTAGTATTTACTACTCTGTTTTTGGCCCAATTGTGTTTGGGCTTGCGAATAAAAGCTTCAATTTTTAAGCTAACACTGATAGTGTGACGCATAAAGAAAGAGAAAGAAATGAGGGGAGTTGGTGGGCCCTTACTGTGCATAAGCGATCTGTTAAGTGACGTCAGAGAAGAAAACTCCGGTGCCAGCCAGGACCACGCGCCGCCGCGCGACGTCGCCGACGCTTCTAATATGCCGGCGTCCGATCTCCCCAAGCTCTTCCAGGTATCCTGAGCTTGGACTTTTACCGGTTTTGAAGGGTATATTGTTCTGGATTCAAATGTTACAGTATACGATTTTAGATTTTTTGGTCTGAGGGGAAATTAATCAAAGCTTTAATATATGTGATTAGCTGCATCAGTGCCACAATTGATTAGCTTAGTGAGGAGAAATTGTAAATTGAAACAATTAGGTTTGAAGATTGGGATTCTTGTATAATCTTAAATGGGCTAGAGTATTTATTATTAAGGAATGATAATTCATAAGATGTCTGATGGGTGATCCCTAGAATTCGAGATAAATTTCTAGGCGAATGAGGTTTTAGTTTTGGGTTTCGGCTTGTGCTCATTGTTGTATAGTATTCTAATTGATTTGGCTGGTTCTTGTTGTTACAAAATTAGGAAAACTTCGAAGAGTTGAAAGGGGCTCTTGAGGGTGCAGACCACTCTTGGACAGCTCTTACCCTCAAGGTAATGCCAGGATGATAAATTGTGTGGATTTCGACTATTTTCTTCATTTTTAAGTATTAACGTTCGTATAAAAATCGAATCTTTATCGCACATCTTTGTAATCTAGCCTTCGTCAAACATTGTACGTTACATCTTACACACATGATGATACCTACTTCACTAACTCAAATGGGAAGTTAAAAATAAAAGAAATAAATTGGCCTCCCTTCTTTATTCAATTCTTGTTTTCGTATCCTTGATAGAAACCAAATATGCTTGGAGACAATCGGGTGATTTTGCTGATGCTTTTACTCTGTTCCAGCTTTGTTCGGCGCTTGAAACGGCGAATAAATTGGTCGACTCTGCAAATTCTCAAGTTGCCTCGCTGTCTGAAAAGGTTGAGGAGGTCGAACAAATCGTGCAGAGAAGAGATTCTGCCATAACAGCAGCTAAAACCATCCAAGGTTTGCCTTAAACCATAATCTAATGCTGGCAAATACAGTTAATGACCCGTTGATCACTTAAACACTGCATCACTCATTTCAGTATTTGTATTGATAATTAGATTCATTACGAATGATGTTATGTACTGTTCTTGTAGCTTATTCGGGTAGCAAGAATTTCTTATGAACTGATTCACATCTAATGTAATATTTCGATTTGATTTGAGGGTTACTTGGTAAGTGTTTGGAACTTGTCCTGATTGTTGGATCTTTTTTATGTCATCCTATCATATGTTCTTATAATTGGTGATAGTTATTCTGTTTGTCTTGTGGCTCATTTGGGCCCCAATGAAGTTGGGCTTATGTACTTAGATCTAAGCCCAACCTAGATGGAATTAGCAGGGTTTGCTTGGGCCATTGAGTGTGGTGTGAGTGCTGTAATGTTTAGGAGGTTCATGTTGTATATACTATAGTTGAAAAAGAGTCAAGCTTGGGCTCTAGCCTTAATCGGGCTGAATAGTTTTGAAATTACACAAAAACCCATATTGCTCGAGTCTAGCTGAGCTGAGCTCAACTCATTAACTAAACGAGTTGTTAAATGAGCTTGAGCTCGACTCATTTATCAAACAATTCGAGTCGAATTTCAGTCTTATCAAGGTGAGTTGAGTCGACAAACGGCTCGATTCGTTTAACACCTCTACCTATACATATGTGAATAAACTATTTTTTGTTATAACAAAAATTATTAAACATCGTTTTCTTGACATAATTAAATGTCCATATGTATTAGTTATGGGTATACATTATATTATTATTATTCTTTCCAGTTGTATAATTCTGTAAAACATACAAGAAAATATTTGGTAACGTCTGTATTACTATAGACTTATAGTTCACTCTTCACTTTTCAAAAGACATTAAGCTCGTTTCTTTTATGTTTAGTTTATTTTATTTTGTAAGCTTGCTTGACATGAACAGTCAATATTCTGAAGAATTTTGCACTAGATGACCAAAGTATGAAGACTTGGTCATGAAGCCAAATTCACTAGTCAAATAGTATACAGAAGCTTCTATTTCATGTCTTGTGAATGGCTATTGACTGATTCTTGGGCAGTTGGGCTAGTTGAGCTAGAGCTGTAAACGGGCCAAGTCAAGCTCAAGCTCATTATCTAACGTCAAGCCAGACCAAACTTGGCTCGTTAACAAGCCTTATCGTGCTTAATTACACTAAAAGTGCATAAATTTATATGAAAAACTCCAATGCAGTTCGAAGAATGAATTTCGTAAAATAAATTAAGTAATATTGATCAAAATTTACGTTTTTTATTTGTTTTATTTTTTGATATATTGATATTTTTCAATTTAACTCCAATGGACTAATCCAATATTTCTCCCTTGAAATAACAACATTATTAAGACACTTTCTTACCTCGGTAATAGTAATTTTTATGGGAAAGCAGAGAGTACAGGAAAGGGAACAAATGTACTGTCATTTCTTCTCTATTTATTACTACATAAACTAAAAGTATTTAAATTCAATTAAATCCTAAATTTATTGCAAGCCGTGCAGTAATTGTTATTGACCTAAATTATAAACGGCTCTCATGATAATTTCTTCATTTGGTATGTGGGCTGATGGACTTTTTTATGAGTAAATTTATTGTGTTAATTAATGATTGGTTATAAATGTAAAATTATTGCTCCATTGTTGATATTTTTTAGCAATTAATTTCTTATCAAATCACCAAAACTATCTAGAAAATATTTTCTACTAACAAAAGAAGAACAAATAAGCAATTGTGTTCATCTGTTCTTGACAGACGTTTGAAAGGGATCCTGTCCAATTGAATCTGTTATTGTTATTTCCTTTCAGATCAGATATTGATAATAAATTGACAATAACTGATAACTCATTAGAATATTTAATTTAATAATATGTAATTGAGGGGTTGATTAGTGTATCATTTCAAAATTTAAATTCTCAATTATTTTGCAAAAAAAGGCAAAAAGGTTAGACGTGAGACAGTGGGTTATACAAATGTTATGTTTTGTCTAACTATTACATAAACTATACTTAAAAAAAAAATGCATGCTTGTATTATAAAATTATATTGTATTTTAAAGTATGACATTTAAAAATAATATATATATATATATATACTATTTGACATCATAATATAAGACGAATCATAGCAAGTAGATTTACATTATGTTGAAAAAAATTGAAATTAATTAGAAAACATGTCCTCGTTTTATTTGTATACATCCTTATCAAACATGACAAAAGCTTGTTTAATTTATTTAATTTCAATTTCCTATCCACAGTCACAAATTCAAAATGGATTAGGTACCCTCTTCAACATTCACATGTATAAAAATTTCTTAAATACTTATGTCATATTTCTATATGTATCATCAAAAAGTGTTCACATTAGGCTAGGCTGAGACTAATTTAAATAATATTTTATTGAAAAAGTAGCTACAACATCTTTGGTTGATAGAAGAATTGAGAATATATGTATTTTTTATTCACAATATCAAAATCAAATGGATGATCTCCCCTCCTCATTACCGATATAAAATGTTTTTCTTGTAAATAAAAACATTAATCTTCATAAAACTCTATCCAAATACACACCTCCCATTCAGCTACTTGATAAAATAATAATTTTAACAAATAGAGAACAATTAAACAGTTATTGACAATTGCATTAAAATCGAAATGAAGTTAACTTACTAATTCCTTTTTTAAGAATGATGGTTAAACACTTATTTTTTCAACCTATGTTCATAATTTCATATTGTAATGCTCTACAAAACAACATAAAAAAATACTATAATATAAGTATATATTTTTTTAAAAAAATTGTCACGTATTTAGTTTTAAGTTATCTCATACAAGAATTTGAGAGTAAAATAAATAATTTATTATATATGTATAAAAATTAAAATTCATAGAATGAAGTTATTTTATAATGTATACACATGTTGCATAAAATACAGTAGTTAATATTATCGGGATAAAAGATGCTCTTATATTTAAAAAACTAAAATAGCAAATTTTGAAATACACATATAGTTGAAAATTGAAATGATCTGATCTGTATCGAACTAAAAAATGAGAAAAGCCGAATCATAGATCTGACGGCCTACGCCTCCCCGTCGACCCCGGTAACTCTGCCATCCAATGGCCCATAACCACAAGCCAGTTTGCACCAACGGATCCCAAATCAACGGCCCATATCAACTCACGTGGGCCCCTCCACTCCCCCCAATTTTCCCAACAGATATATAAATCTCCCCACACACACACATCCCCACATCAAAACTCGGGCCACTCTCTGAACAATTCCAATAACTCCTTTCTCTCACACACACTACGCGTTCTTTCTCTCTCTCACACNCTTTTTTCGCCGGAAAAATTTAAACACTCCGCCGGAGATGAAACCGGCGTCGGAGCACGTCATTAGAATATCCAGGTACAGGAGCTGGGTCCACTGAAAACCAGGAGGAGCTGAGAATAAAAAAGAAAAAAAAATGGACGGCCAGAAATCTCAGGCGAAGCTCACTAGGACCAACTCGTCGCTCCTGAGGTCTTCGCCGACCGTCCGATCGTCGATCCAGAGCCTGTCCTCCGTCAGCGAGATCGAGCTGGGCGACCTCGATGAGCAGAAGCCCCACGGCAGACCGGCGCCCCTCCACCCGGTTCGATCCGGTTCGTCGCGCCTGGCGCCGGTCCTGGCCGTGTTCCTACTCTCGGCCTACACGATCTTCTCGTTATACTACAGGGAGGACGTTCCGACCTCCGAGAACCTCCTGCTGGCCCTTATCTTCGTCGCCGTTTTCCTGTTCTACCTGACGAGGAACAGGGCCTCGATGAGCAGAAATTTCGACTCGTTGAAGCAAATGTGCGACGCGTGTGCCGGGAAATTAGGGTTCCCGTGCTTCTTGTCCCGGGCGCCGTCGAAGCCCGTGCAGTGGTTCATCGGCGATTCCGATCTCGAAGAGGTAGGGCAACCTCGTCGATTGACGAAAAATCGGAGTATCAGCAGGATTACGAGGGAAGGGGTCGAGTTTTACAGCAATGGCGATTTTTACGAGGGGGAATTTCACAAAGGGAGGTGTAACGGCAGTGGAGTGTACAACTACTTTGTAAATGGCAGATACGAAGGGGATTGGGTCGACGGGAAGTACGACGGCTATGGGATTGAGAGCTGGGCGAGGGGGAGCAAGTACAGAGGGCAGTACAGGCAGGGATTGAGGCATGGCTATGGCGTTTACAAGTTCTACACTGGGGATTCGTTTGCTGGGGAGTGGCGTAATGGTCAGAGCCATGGCGTTGGGGTGCAGACCTGTGCTGATGGGAGCTGTTACATTGGGGAGTTCAAGTGTGGGGTGAAGCATGGTCTTGGCTGTTACCATTTCAGGTGAGTGATTTTGATCTGATTTTTAATTTTTGTTCTGTTCTGTTTATGGGTTTTGGATGTTTTGGTGTGTGGGGATGTTTGTTGTGTGTAGTTGATGTGATGTGTGAGTTTGTTGGTGGAGCGGTTTCGATTTTTGGGTTGAATTGAAAGATATCTGCTTGAAGATGATTGATGTATCACGGTTGAGTTGACTAGTTGAATTGCATTTACAGTCTGAAATTTTCTGCCTTGGAAGATTTTAAATTTACAGTGGTGAAGTTTTGGGGGGTTGAGTTGAGTTGTTTTATCTTTTGTATATCTTCGAGAAGGAGAATAATTGTGAATTATCTACGGAAAGGAGTAACTTGATTTCTGAAAATCCGGTGGATGTATTATGAGAAGCTGCTTATATTTTCTTCCTCCTTTTTACTAATGTTCAAAATCTTGTGAAATTCAATTGTACATGATCTACTGAAAATGCTATTTAAATTCAAAGATCCAAACTTTGGATAAGACTTGCTCATAAATTGTCTTGAGATGTGTCAGCCTCCTTTTGGTAGGCCACCATACAAATCTTGTTCTGAATCCACAGATTAAGTATGTATGTTTGGTAGGTAGTCTTGCACTCCCTGAAACTCAAAACTTCGAGCTCCAAATAATTGCCAAAAAAGAAAAAAAAAAAGTTTATAGAGACTGATGCAATTTAATAAACTTTGTAGAAATGGAGATCGATATGCCGGCGAATATTTTGGAGATAAAATCCACGGTTTTGGTGTCTACCATTTTGCAAACGGCCATTTTTACGAGGGTTCTTGGCATGAAGGACGCAAGCAAGGCTATGGCATGTATACTTTCCGAAATGGTGAAACGAGATGTGGCGAATGGGATAACGGCAGTCTTAAGACCCGTATTCCCCCACTAACTGATGCCGTTCTCCGAGCTGTTCAGGTTCGAAAACCAAGCCTTTATTAAATCCTCTCATTTTTTAAAATTTATTCACCAAATTACTTGTTTTTTGGCTTAGTATGATGGTAAACAATTGATGGTGCTTTTACTGCAAATGTTGTTACCCCTTTGGAAATTCATATCTAAATGTTGCTAAAGTTATTGATTTCTTATCGTTAGATAAACACGATGTCTAAAGT